CAAGAAGTGGTTAAAACATGGGCAAAGTAACATCAACACATATCGAAATATGCCAAACATCATATACACCCGCCTTAATTAAGTTAATCATAAAAGATAAATTAAGGTTGTTAGGAGTCTTATTTCTAATAAATAAATAAAAATTAAAAAGGAATTAACGAAATAAAATATAGGCTTGCCGTGCCTTCTCTTTTATTTCGGGCGGCTCTTCAATTTCATGTTCTCCCGTGGTTCTTCTCCATCACTCTCCAAGAACTATTGCTGGTTTGGGAGTTAAAAAATTGGCATATAACAGGTTAGTTCATACTATTTTTTAAAAAATGGCATATAGAAAGTTAGCATATAGGTTTGCCGTGCCTTCTCTTTTATTTTGTGCATATTGTTTCTGCCACTGTTTTTATTTCTCCATTGCCGCTGATTGAAAAACCTCATTGTTTTACTTATCTTGGTACTTGAAAAATTAGAAGTATCGGTACTCTTGAAAACATTAAAACAAATACTCGTGGTTTGACTTTAGGACTTAGGAAAGTCTTTTACGTCAATTAATGTGTAGAAACGAAAATTCTATATGTGTATTATTTAGGAGTATTCTGAGTTATACTATCTCCAAATTTTATTTTTAAATATTATTAATTTGGTCTTTTTATATTTTGTTACATGAATCTGGCTAAATTTGATTATAGTTGTATAAATTTTTCTATTTTTTCTGTTGTTATATATATCACCAAAATTTATTTCTTCTTTTGTAATATCAGAATGTCAAATTTTGAGAAGACAAACAATATTGAGAGTCATGAAGAGTCATTAGAAGACATTAGAATTGAAGAGGATGATGAGAAAATAGAAGACGAGAAAATTTCAGAAAATTACATAACTGAATTAGAGGAAAAAATGAAAGATCAAATTGTTAGGGACAAGGACGAAGCTTATAACTTATATTGTGAATATGCACATTATTAAGGTTTCAGTGTAAGGAAGGATAAACAATATTACTTTCAAGATGTGTAGTGATAAGAGAAAAATGATTTGTGTGCTATAAGCATGGGGAAAAAGATGAAAGGCAAAGGAAATCCAGTAAGGCATCTTGCAGTCACATAGACCCACGATCAAAATTTCCTGCAATGATAAACTTTAAGCGTCAATTTCCTAATAGTCCTTTCGTGGTGGATAGATTTGTTAAAGAGCATAATCATGAGATGGCTTCACCGAAAAAGAGTCACTTGTTAAGATCTACTCGTTCAATAACTAAAACCAAAGGGCTAGTGATTGAAAATAAGGTTAACGTTGGTATAAAGCCGACTGCAACATATTCTTACTTGGCAGAAGTTTCTGGAGGGACTGATGTTTTAGGTTATTCAAAAAAAGATTATTTTAATTTTATACATGAGTTGATGAAATCTAAGGTGGAAGCTGGGGATGCTCAGAGTGTTGTTAATGAATTTAATAACAGACAAGCAAATGAGACACTCTTTTATTGGGATGTTCAGCTTGATTTGGAAGGGAGTATAACTAACTTCTTTTGGAGAGATGGTCGATCTAGAATTGACTATGAGATAGTTGGTGACGTTGTGTCTTTTGATACCACATATCGAACAAATAAGTATCGTATGATTTGTGCACCATTTATTGGAATAAATCATCATTGGCGGAATATAATTTTTGGTTGTGCTTTTTTATCTGATGAGTCTGCAGAATCTTTCAAATGGTTGTTCTCTACATTTTAAAAGTCAATGGGAGGTATTGCACCGAAAACTATTATAACTGATCAAATTCAAGCAATGGCAATTGCCATTAGAGAAGTGATGTCTGGCACTAGACATGGATTGTGTCAATGGCATATATCTCACAATGCCCCATCTCATTTGGGCCCACTTAAGAATGATAAAGGTTATTCTAAACTTTTTAACAAGTGTATGTCCGAATGTGATTCTATTACTGAATTTGAAAAAATGTGGGAGATGATGCTTACAATGCACAATGTAGAAGAACAAAAGTGGTTGAAGAATCTTTATAATATTCGACAGATATGGTCTACAACTTTTAATAATGATGTGTTTAGTGTTGGATTGAAAGCCACATCTCGAAGTGAATCTACTAATCATGTACTAAATGGGCTTGGAGATTTGAGCACTTATTTGCATATATTTGTGACTAATTATAAGAAAAATATAGTAAATAAGTGGCGTCTGAGTGAAGAACATGAAGACTTCAAATGTAAACAAGGTAAGCCTACTCCTACTGTTAAAGGTAGTCCAATTTTAACTCAGATTTCTGCAGTCTACACTCATAAGATTTACAACATGTTTGAGAAAGAGTTTCTCAAAGAAGTTAGGGCATGTTTTATTGAGGTACAAGTATATTGTGATGGTCAAGTGTCCAAATATGAAGTAAGAACGTATAATTCAAGTAAGAGTTGGTTTGTTGAGTTGGATCCCACAACTTTACATGTTACATGCACTTGCAATAAGTTTGAATCTATGGGTATTTTATGTGCACATTGTCTGCTGATTTATTCGTCAAATAAAGTTTGTGAAATCCCTAAGGAATATATTTTGAGAAGATGGACCAAAGATGTGAGGAAAAGAATAAAAAATTTGCCAAGTCAAAGTTGTTCTATGAATAGAAGTTCAGAATCTGAGATTATTTACACTAATAGTGTGATGCAAACTTGTTATAATCTTACTCATCTTAGAAAATATAGTGTTGAGCGTTGAGAGATTTTTCAAAGACATCTCGAAAATGCTTTAGATGAGTTTGATGATTATCTAGAGAAATTAAACAATACTGTTGCCCATATTTCAGTAAAATATTGTGAGAAAAATATTGAAGACAACAAGGTATTAGAGCCTATTTATGTAAAAGCACCAGGTGTTCGTAAAGAGCGTATTCTACACCATTGGGAGAAACCCAAAAAAAAGAAAAACTCTCAATCGACCAATGGGAGAATTAGTAAGTATTACAATACAAGTCTTTGTTGGTTTTACCTTTTTTATAACAATCTAATTAGTTATTTATTTACATGGAAATCTCAAAAAGATGTTGCACCACCAATAAAAACTTGTTTGAGGACAATGCTTACACTCTCCATGTAACGACCCGACCGATCGTTTTGAGTTCTAGCACGTCATTCAGTGGTTTGAGACCCTGAGCATTTTCACTCCAGGTATTATTACTTGTACGCGTGGTCGGATTTCAATTTCGGGAAGTTCGGGGTTGGTTTGGAAAGAAAATTCTAATTTCGAAAGCTTTAAGTTGGAAGAATTGGTTAAAGTGTGACTTTTAAGTAAACGACCTCAGAATCGGGATTTGAAGGTTCCAACAGGTTCGCATGATAATTTTAGACTTGGGCGTATGTCCGGACCGGGCTTTGGATGACCCGGGAACGTTTCAACGCTTATTGTAAAAGTTGGCACTTTGGAAGGATTTCATAAATTTGGGTTGAAGTACATTTCAATGTTATCAATGTCCGATTGGGATTTCGAGTCTGGGAATAGCTCCGTATGATGATTCTGGTCTTAGGAGCGCGTCCGGAATTGGATTTGGAGGTCCTTAGGTCATTTTGGGGTCGTTTGGCGAAAGTTAGAAATTTGAAGGTTTTTGAGAAGTTTGACCGGGAGTGGACTTTTTGATATCGGGGTCGGAATTTGATTCTGAGAGTTGGAGTAGGTCCATAATATTGAATGTGACTTGTGTGTAAAATTTGAGGTTAATCGGACTTGACTTGATAGGTTTCGGCATCGAATGTAGAAGTTTGAAGTTCTAATGTTCATTAAGCTCGAATTGGGGTGTGATTCATGATTTTGATATTGTTTGAGGTGATTTGAGGCCTCGAGCAAGTCCGTGTTATGTTGTGGGATTGGTTTGTGTGATTGGACGGGGTCCCCGAGGGCCTCGGGTATGTTTCGGGATGGTTTTGGATCATGTCGGGCTGTTTTGGACTGCTGTTGCTGGTATCTGATTTCCTTCATCGCGAACGCGAAGGGTGTCCCGCATTCGCTAAGAGGAATTTGAGGCAGCTGGGTTTTGGCCTTTGCGAACGCAAGGCGGAGGTCGCAAATGCGGAGGGTTGCCTAAGGAAGCTTACGCGAACGCGACACAGGGGTCGCGAATGCGAAGAAGAAAAGCAGAGTGGAGACTTGGAGTAGTTTGGCCTTAGCGAATGCGGAGCTCCAGCCGTGAACGCGAAGCAGTGGTGTCTGCAGCCTTCGCGAACGCGAGGCTTTGAGCGCAAACACAAACTCGAAGAAGGGCCTGGCCTGGGCAGATTGTTTTAAAGACGGAATTTGACCATTTTTTTGCAATTTTTCATTTGGTTGCACGATTTTCGGAGCTCTTGGAAGGGAGATTTTCGTCATCTATGTCAAGGTAAGTGATTCCCACCTATTGCAAGTTAAATACTTGGATTATATATGGATTTAGACATGAAATTTGTAAAAATATGAGATTTTAATAGAAAACCTAGAATTGGTAATTTTGGATATTGACCACGAATTTGGGCATGGAATTGAAAATAAATTATATATTTGAGTTCGTGAGGTTATAGGTAAAGTTTATCTTCGAAAATTTTCGAAATCCGGGCACGTGGATCTAAGGGTGATTTTTATCAACTTTTCTAGCGGAGTTGGAAATTTGTTTAAATCGAATTGTTGTGAGTATTAGAGTATATTTTTATGGGTTTGCACATTTATTGACTAGTTTTGTAGCGTTGGGCATATGTTTGAATTGTTGTAAAGGCTTGGGATCCGGCTATGAAACTTTGGAGCGAGGTAAGTCTCCTTTCTAACCTTGTAAGAGGGAATTAACCCAATAGGTGGGGGCTACGTACGTACGAGGTGACAGAAATCCGTGCGTAGCTACTAATATGTTTATGTCTGGGTAGTCTAGGACCCATATCATGTTATAATTGCGATGCTTGCATCCTACTTGTTAATTTAAATTGCTTAAATCATATCAAAACTTGGTAAAGGAACTTTAAAAAGGTTAAACTTCATTTACTTGACCGCTAAATGAGAATTTAAAATTTTAGAATAATTGCCCTTAATAAATTTTGAATTTGGTTGTTTAATGTGTATTTTCTCTTTTGCGGAGCGGGCCGAACGCCTCAGCAGATTAAATAGATGCATCTATGGTTCATGCCGTTTGACTCACGACAGTGCACAATTTAAATATTTATGTTGGAGCGGGTCGTACGACCACGGAATGATTTGCGCATGATTGAACTTGATTTCTTTGGAATTTACAATAAATGATTTTGCCTCCTCGGCCTGAGATAAATTGTTAAATAATGGAAAACAAATTTGGAGATTTCTTATGAACAAAAGAATTGTTTACTTATTTCATGACATTGAGCTTACATCCGTTCTACGTAATCCATGCCTAATTATATCATTGATATCCTATTTATAGCCCATAGTAAGTGTCGAAGTCGACCCCTCGTCACTACTTCTTCGGGGTTAGGCGGGATACTTACTGGGTACGCGTTGATTTACGTACTCATACTACACTTGCTGCACATGTTTGTGCAGGTACATATATGTTTTGTGGCCTTGTGGGCACAGAGGCGCGATTATGGCGGGAACTTAGGTGAGCTGCATTCTATACTACGATCCGCAGCCGGCAGAATCTCTTTCAGAGTACTTATATTTTTTCTATCCAATTTGTATTCCTAACAGCTGTTGTATTTTATTTTATATTCCTAGTTAATGCTCATGCACTTATGACACCGGGTTCTAGGATAATTATGGGTTGTTATGTATTGAATTTGTTAAAAAATATTATTATTTATTCTGTAAATTCCACCTTTTGCTATTTAATTGAAGGAAAATATGATTTCAGAAATATTAAAATGAGAACCCAATTAAGTATTTATTGTTGGCTTGCTTGACAGTGGTGTCCGATGCTATCACGACCCTTTTATGGATTTTGGGTCGTGACAACATAGTATCAGAGCACTAGGTTCACTTAGGTCTCACGAGTCATGAACAAGTCTAGTAGAGTCTTGCGGATCGGTACGGAGACGTCTGTACTTATCTTCGAGAGGCTACAAGACTGTTAGGAGCACTTCCCTTTCTTGATTCCTCATCGTGTGATTTGATTCTTTTGAGGCTTATGCCTTCATTTCCTTCCTATTCGATCTCATGCGACGTGAAGCGCCTGCTATAAATTGAGAATAGAATAATTTTAATAGTACTACAGATGTGGTGCAGGGTGTTTCTCCCTGCATATTTGATTGGGCTATTGTCGTCGCCTTGCGGAAGGTCGTTCTGTCATTTCAGCTCGGTATCAGTAATACCTAAGGTTTTGAGGTTTGGCATTGATTGTTATATTGATTGTTTGGTATCAGTAATACCTAAGGTTGTGATGTGGTGTCGTCGCCCTGGATTGAATGTGTTAAGTTCGCCGATGTTATGGTCTTCATCAATTTGCCTTCGGGACAGGGTAGTGTGAAGTAGTAGTGGGGAAGCGGCTGTCAGAGATCACAGTGTGCAGTGGTTCAGGATTTAATTGGTGGTCCGGGTGTTGAAGGCTCAAGGAAGATGATCTTCGGAAAAGATTAAAGTTGGTAGCGATCGATTGGTTCAAGTGCTACAGAGGTAGATTTTGAATTAAGGTAGCAACTGGGCAACAAAGGATGAGTAAGAACATGTGGGAGGTGTCTTGCGGTGGTTAAATTTCTAGAAGGCCAAGTATGAGAAATAGAAGTCGAGTAGTTGCATAAAGGAGA